GGTTTGTAGGGATTTGATTGTTTGAGGATTTCATCATGAGCTGACATTAGTTAGAGAAACATTGGAAAACATGGGAGTACTGGCAGCTGTTTCGTCCTAGTTTGGGACTCTTCATCAGTACGCACCCACCGGGATTCGAACCCAGGACCTTCCGGTTACAAGGCGAGCTCGTATACCATTAAGCCACTGGGACCTGACCCAATGGTCCTTGAATTATAACTTCTGCCAATTCACGACATAGCGCAACCGCTAGCCAATGTCTTCGGCGAGTATTTGTCCTCACACCCGACCGGCTGCACCCTACTGGTCACGACTTCCCACTGGAACCCAGGTAACTACCTACCTGAATAATAGTTGTTAACATTAATCCCTATATATAAAAGGAGTTGAATAAGTGTTACGTAACTAGGAGAATAATTTAATGAATGATTGTGGTCAGATACACAAAGAAACGAACGAAGTCTGTCATCCTGTCGGAGTTCTAAATAAATAAATACAGGAGTTATAAAGTGTTAAAAAACAAACGGACGAAAATTAAGTTCAAGTAATGGTTTGTGAGGATTTGTTTGATTGGTTACAGGATTTCATCATGAGCTGAACCTCGCCAGATACTAGCTTGCTAGGCTACTGCTTACTAGTTTTCTCGCCGGTCCCAAGCCCGGGTAAAGAGAGAGAGTTGGGGCGTGGCGCTAGCAACTCCACCCCAGTAAAACAACCAAATCGCTACAGAAACTTCAACGAATAGATATCGGTTAGAGAGTCGTTGGAAATCTTGGGAGTACTGGACAGCTATTTCATCCTGGTTTGGTACTCTTCATCCGTACGCATACACCAGGGTTATGGACCATTGGAGTGGGTCCCAGTGGCTGGATGGTGTACGAGCTCACCTAGTCGTAACCAGAAGGTCCTTGGTTCGAACCATGTCGCACTCTGATGAAGAGTCCCGAACTAGGACGAAACAGTTTCCAGTACTCCCTGTTGGTATTCCAATGGTTCTCTAACTGATGTCAGCTGATGATGAAATCCCGTAACCAAAAATTAAGTTAGTAGAAAACAACAGGGACGTTACCCTATGATAGCAGAAGTGGTTGAATAATTTTTTTTTCTAAGCACAACCTCAATTTCTCCATCTGAATGGCTAGCATTTCAGAAATGCAAAACAGACGAAAGCGTATCGTCTTTATTAGGTTGTTATTCACTTTGTGTGTGTGTGTGGGGCGGGGCGGTTTGTTGAGATCAAATGACCAATGTTGACAAGGTGTTCGATTATCGCATTTCTTAAACAGCTGCCACTGCTATCCTTCCGCAATCATGCGGGATTGTGTTCCTGAACCCTTTTAGACAAGATATGCTTCAGGCGACCGATATACTTGTCCCTCAGGGATAGGTGAGCTGAAATATGCACACAGAGGTGGTTAGATGGAGGTCTTCTCCTTCAGGATTTTACAAACCATTGGACGACTGGTGAACGCTAATCTTAGCGTTATTTTGAAGAATGCTCTCTTCAAAGATGCTGAAACCCTTCTCTTGGAAATGTCGCAGGTTAAATCTCTCTAAAAATCAAGGCTCATATAAGATTTCCTATGACACCTCGTCATTTTTGTGGAAAAAAGTATGTAGAATGCAATTGTGCAGCTAAATAAAATGAACTAGTCTAGAAGATTCTTTTTGCTAAATATAGTTTGAAAAGTTTTCCGTGTCAGGAGAAATCGATGGACCAAGACTGATTCATATATCTGTATCTGGAACTCTCGAGCTTTACTCATCAATAATCATTTCAAACTGGGATCTTTATGTATTACAGTTATTCAACTGTGTAATTTTTAACGACGATTTGGTATATGCTCATTCTTAAGCCCATATTGGATCGTAAACATGACTTTCAGGTTACCCTACAACCCCGCTGAGTTTTGATCTTGGTCAGTTCAAGATATAATGTCACGGTCAAGAAATGCTATTGATGAACATCTACTTCAAACTTGAACAGTGCGGTTAATCATTATCCTTGAGACCAGTAGAGTCCACTTTGTGACTCACAGACTGCTTTCAACGTAGAAATTTGCACAAATATACACCAGTCTGAGTTGCCACACTCTCCCCATGTACTACACAAAGCAAGCGAGGAGAGTAATGAAAGATTTAGAAGGGGGAGAAATAATACACAGAAATATGGATGAGGGACAAAAAGTATAGTGATATGGAAGAACAATGGAATTTAATTGGATACTATAAATTACAAAGAGTGGATGCATCTGCGTCAGCCATTGATAATGCCGATTCTCAGCCATATCACTAATTGTCCATAGCTTTCATTGGTTCTTACCATCCTGAGGACCCCGATGAGAATATCTACATCTCCCTACGTGGCTTAAACAAACTATTATGGATTTCACTGACTGAAGAAGCCATATTTTGGTTTGACCACCATTACGTCTTTCTTTTCTAACATGATCAATTCTATGTCAGCTAACAGAATGACCGTCGAGGAAGTCGATGGCTAGGCATACATACGTAACACATCTCCTAACCATCTCATTCGATGCAAATGTTTCGCAAGTTAATCGACTGATTTCCCCTCCTTACTTAGCACTCCACTAAAAGCGTAATGTCAATACTGATCACCTTATTATACAAGTTCACACGGAAGATAGAACGCTGACACCTACGATCAAAGACAGCTAACCGGCCTTATCATTTCTTCCACTCTCAATGGCCAGGTCTCGCAGCAATTCTAGATGGCTCACCATCACGAAACCTAGGCGAGGCAAGGGTTCCTGTGGCCGATTGCCTCAAATCATCTATTATATGGTTCATTAGTTTACTCCCCTGATTTTCAGATAATGGGCCGTGAGTTCGAAACCCGCCTCCATTTAATTCAGCTAAGGCAACTAAGTAGGACAACATGCCCTCACATAATAAGTGTGAGAAAGCTCTCCCAGGTAGCCGATTTGAGTTCACTCTGTCTCTCTTCCTCTCTCTCTGTCTCTGAGCTTAGCTTATACCACCTAACACGTGAGATAGAACACAAACACCTATGATCAAAGACAACTAGCCAGGCTTTTCATGTCTTCCACTTTCAATGGTCATGTCTCACAGCCATAAAGAAGGATGAAGCAAAGTGTTCAGCAGCACATACTTCCTTTGATCGAGAGCAAGAGATTGTGTAAGTTAGCAGGCATATGCGAAACGAGCCTTCTGTATCCGCACTGAGATTTCTTCAGGTATCAACCGCTGGCACTAGTTGATGCAACGCCCCGAATAAGGAGAGTAGTCAACACGCTCCACCAACCATTTCACTCCTGGCCATCTTTAAGGTAGAAGTGAGTCGATATAACCTAGTTCAGTCCTGTAGCTTCATCATCTTACGACATTTGACAGCAGGAGCGAATCGCATGCCAAATATTCACAAATTGCTGCTCAAGTTATTCAAAAGACTCTGTTGTATTTTAGCAGCGTCTTCATCTAGGAGGACTTTATCATGCATATACTCTAAGTCATCGAGATTATTCATGGATAATCCACATCCAGGCAATAATGAAAACAAAACACGTAGATCGTCGAAGAGTCTCTTCTCACCGGTCAATTCATTTTCTTAGCTGTACAATCGCAAATATACATGTATTATTTTGTATGTATGTGTACATTAAGTTTGTCAAACAAAATTACAATTGATTAAGGTTATTTTGACTAAACAGGTGAAGGTTGGTAATACAAGTCAAGAAAATTAGGTGTTAATGAAATTAGGGTAGTAACAAAGGTGATGAGTTGTCACAAACAGTTGTTAAAAGAAGTTATATCTGTCTGTCTGTTTTCGACATAGAACTATGCACCGATGCGCGGAAGTTCAAGTCGCCACACTCCGTGTAGCACGCGAAGCAAGAGAAGAAAGTACAAGAAAAGCATAATAGAAACAGTGAGCAGAGGTGTGAGACAAAGAAGTTATGAAATAATATGAATAGTTTGATGAATGAGTTTTACTCAGGATGCACATAGAAACAAGGTAGATAATACGAAACTATGTAAGAGATTTAAGTGAATACAAGAATTATAAGCAATTAAGGAACAGGCAAAGAAACAAAATTAAGTCATCAAAAAAATCAAATCAAATAAAAAATTGTTACCATGACAGTAGAAGTGGTTGAGTAATCTTCTTTTGTATGCACAGCTCCGGTTTCTCTATGTGAAAGGCCAGAGCTTCAGCGATACAAAGAAGACGAAACCGTATTGCCCTTGATAGGTCATTCTAGACTCTGTAGATTACTTTGAAGGAGCGGTTTGTTGAAATCGAATGATTAGTGTTAACCAGGTGTTTAATTATCGCACTCCTTATTGCACCACTATTGACTTTTCTAAACCATGCTGGATAGTGTTCTTGAATCCTCTTGGACAGGATGCACGTCGAATGACCAATGTACCTACCTGGCTCCACAGCTGCAGGTTTGTGACAACTCAACACCTTTGTTACTACCCTAATTTCATTAACACCTAATTTTCTTGACTTGTATTACCAATCTTCACCTGTTCAGTTAAAATAACCTTAACCAATTGTAATTTTGTTTGACAAACTTAATGTGCACATACATACAAAACAATACACGTATATTTGCGATTGTACAGCCAGCAAAATGAATTGACTGGTGAAAAGAGACTCTTCGACGATCTGCGTGTTTTGTTTTCATCGAGATTATTCTCTGATGGTAACAAAATAATCCCTGGTCCACCATGTAGAAGCCTTATAGGCAGACACCAATCTATGATATCAGCATTCGATTTCACGGTTTAAACGTTTGTGAACCAAGTGGTTTTCCGCTTGCTTTTATACTCTATGAATAAGTAGCTAAGGACTACATAAGAAATTAGTCACCCCTGCCTTCTTCTTCTTCTTCAGCAATCTCTGTTTGGATAAGTAAAGCCCCTTCAGAAAGTTAAGCCACTTAACATAACTACTTCTTATTGGCATTTTCTCTTCACAATTTCTTTTCTTTCTATTATTTTTAAAGCTTCTCATATGGATGGTGAGTCAAGACCGCTACTTCAAATCGAAGCCATAGATGCCGATGCTGGTGACAATGGTAAAATCACCTATGAGATTAGCGCTGGAAATACAGACAATCTATTCGTCCTTAATGCCGACACAGGGATACTTTCCCTCTCTTCAAACTTGTATACCACCTCAGCAGAACAATCAATAGAATCTTCATCATCAAAAAATACAGAAAAAACAAAGCACAATTCTCTTACTCCATCTAATCCAATCATGTATATGCTACGCTTTGAAGCATGTGATCGTGGCCTACCAAAACGTTGTGCGCTACCTATCTGGGTACAATTGGTTATCGATCCGAATGAATTTCCACATCTTGCACAACTCTCTCATTTAACAAATTATTTAAATCCATCACTAGTCAACAATGCTGACAAACTGAATCAACCGCCATATTCAATGGATCAATCTATTGAACACATTGAACAGGCTAAAACAGCTTTAATTTCTGGTTATTTTCATTCAAATTTGAACAACAATAATAATAATAACCGTAACAATAATAACAATGCTGATTTAAACAAACAAAACCATATACGCTTTCATGAAGACGATGGTTTTATCAGTGATGTGAAGGCAAAACTTCTTATCCCATGAAAGCAACCCAGTATAAAAATATTTGGAATGTTAAATCCTCTGGTTATAATCGACAACAAGATCGCCAAGGCATAATAAATTTGGTCAACTTCATTATCAACAGTCGCTTGAGCATAAAACAGGTTTGATTCAATCAGGACATGATGGAAGTTATTTAAGTAATGGAAATGGCTTGTCGTTGAATCATAACAATAATAATAATAATAATAATCATAGTTTTGTGATCAGTGAAGTGGCAATTGTTTGTCTCGTTATTGTATTCATTATTCTATTAGTCGCTATTATGGTGTTGATATATTTAACAAGACGTAAAACATTTCTACTTCCAGTGACTGCTACAAAGTCAAGAGTGAAAGGTGAGTTGAATTTTGGTATACTCGCGCGCGTAGGCGCGCACCATTTATTGATTTATTTTATGTATTAACTGTTGGTTACTTCATGCATTTATTCCCCTTGATAAATTTGAATAAAGCGAGAACAACATTGATTTGTGCAGAATAACATGGTACCATCATTTATTTCGTTGGCTTCTCGTCAGCTGCTTACAGCCTAAATAAATTTTCAGGTTTAAGTACAGAAACGTTTTAACGTACTTGCAAATTTTACATGTTGACAGAAAGTTTCACAACTAGTAAACAGTGCTCAGAAAATTGCGCTTATATAGTTTTTACACAGGCAGTTCAAGTTAAAAAATAATAAATAAATGTATGTATATAATGGTAAGGGATGTGCGTTGGATGCATAGTGACTAATAAGTTAGGTAACAATGTACTGAGTTGAACTCAAATCATAGAAACAAGAGACAAACAAAATTACAGATTATAAAAGGAGGGTGAGGTTAAAGACAAAATTACACAATCAGATGAGAGATGCAAAGTGACTAATAAGTTAGGTAACAATGTACTGAGTTGAACTCAAATCATAGAAACAAGAGACAAGCAAAATTATAAAAGAGGGTGAGGTTAAATAAAGACAAAGATTACGCAATCAGATGGGAGAAAAAAGACATCCAGTTACCAAGGCAAGGAAAGACTAATAACTGATTCTTTCTGAACACATAGATCTGGTTTCAAGCGTTTTATAGAAATTGCTTCGGCAAACTTGAGGAGAATGGAGCTCCTTTGTCTATTGATAATTTCGAAGGATTTCTTGATTTCCACCTCATGACCCGTGTCGAGGAGATGTCTGGTAATAGCGCTGCTATAAGAATTTGTTCCCTTGAGACGTAGGCTTTTCGGCACATGTTCAGAAAATCGGAGGTGTGCCCTTCTTTCTGTTCTCCCAAGGTAACTGCTCCCGCAGATACACGTAAATTTGTATACACAGTTGGAGTTAACATGAGAAGGGTATCTATCGACTTTTGACTGCACCAAAGAGCATGTTGTTCGGTGGACGGGAACATGTTGGTTACTGGTAACTTGATTTTATTTTCTGACGTGAATAACGCATTGACGGCACACTTTACAGGCAAGTGAATGGGATAGCGATCGACTTCCCATTGGGTCCCATTCTGGTTGATTTCTTTCTAAGTAAGCTAGAAAATGGACCTTTGAACAACCACCTTATCAGTAAGCTCTCATTTTATTGCCGATATATGGATGATACCTTCATTCTTTGTGAGAATGGTTCTGATAGGAGCACAATAATTACTGAATTCAATGAAGTATATTCGGTTATGAAATTCACGTGTGAAGAGGAATCCCAAAACAGAATTAATTGCCTTCCTGGATGTCTTACTTACAAGAAAACCAGATGGTAGTATAGAAATGAATTCACGGCTTCGTTCCTATCAAGTACAAAAGAAATTTAGTGAAGACCCTCAGCCATAGAGTTAGAGCTATATGCTCAGAAGAAGTAAATGAAGATGAATTAAGCATTGTATATGATACTTTGATTGAAAATAGCTATCCCAACAAATTTATCAAGAAACACATGACAAAGAAAGCGGAAAAGGACTAATCACTATTTGTAAACAAGAAGCCACTCCATATACGACTACAATTCAAGGGCAATATACTAAGTGAGATAATTACGAGGAGAATAAGAAAATCAGTTCAAAGAACTTTTAATTCTGGCGAACTACACGTATTATTCTCTACACGACCGATGACGATTCCTCGACTGAAAGGTGAAGTACCTAGACTAGCCACTTCCAGTTGTATCTACCAATTCAACTGCGCTTGTGGTTGAGCGAGTTATACTGGCCGTTGCTCTAGGAACTTGATTTCTCGTGCCTGCTTGAGAACATCTCCCAACATGGCTAAGTAAAGGTGTAGTTAAAACCATTAATTGTTCGATACTGGACCATCTGGTGCAAACTGGCCATAAAGCCAGCCAGAGTAGAAGAATCCTTCTCTGTAATCTACTGGGTGCCTAATAAATTACCAAAATCATCGAAGCACTGCATGCTCCAAACAGCAGAGGCTATTGCGATTCGCCTCAAACAACCAGTGCCCTGTGTTCAAAAGAAGCAAGTCTAGTCCCACTACTGCCCTGGCCAGCCTTCAGTAGAGACTATAAATTCATGAATTTGTAATATTATCTTTCCTAATTTTTCTGACATTCAGTTTATTCTTATGTTGACGCTATTGAGCTGTAATCGATCAATATTATTGAGTCGATGTTATTTGAACAGCAACATTCATGTTGTTCATAACACTAACTCATTCACTCACTCACTATAATGTATATATAACTGTAGAGCCTGATGATGAAGAGGTTATCGAAAAGAGTATTCTTTGTTCAGTATCGATTCATTTGAAAATTTTAATGGGCATTTTTAATCAGTTAAAATGTATATAAAAGTATTTAACTAGTTTCATCTCACATTGGACTCTTCAAACGCATGGTAGGGATATACTGGTATGCTTTTCCCCCACGCATGCTATGTTATTTGTGCGTTAGTGGCACAGCGGTAGAATGTTCGCCAACCACGCCTCATGTGGTTCAGGGTTCGACCCCTGGCCACCAACGCACTCCTTTACCTCGCTAAGCCAGTAATAAGAGTGATAAAGAGAGAAAGTTGGGCATGAAGCTAGCAACCCCAACCCTTAAAAATAGCCACCCCTGCTGCCGCTCACCAAATGCGTAGGAAGAAAAATGCAGATGGATTGATTAGCCATACGTTGAGGAGGCTATCGAGTGACATCGTGGATGATGCAGGCCATCGCTTGAGTGGAATCCCAGTGGGAAGTGACGAATGGGTCGTGGGTGTGAAGGTGACATGAGGGAGATCGTGTGGCGAACGCGAGGAGTAGGGGATGGTAAATTATTGGCAGTCGTGGAGCTATCCTGTTGAAGAGGTATCATCAAAAGAGACAACTATTGTAGACTGTAGGACCGAACATCTAGGGAAGGAGAGACATTTGACAAACTTTCTCTCAACATAGAGATTAGGTTGAAAAATCTTTACAGCTATTGCCTCAGCTATGCTTAGCAAATGAAGGCGTACCAACCTAGGGAGTTGAGATGGCTCCCTGTATAGAATTGTTAAAGCTGAATTTTTGTCAATCTTGTGCCCTGTATCCACTAGGAGTGACAATATGGAATAACTCCAATATGGATAAGATTCTATTTTGATAAATCATACAGAGTTGTATAGTAATATTAACTGATGACCACGTTTCGAGCACAAACTATTGTCACTCATAATCAAATCAAGTCACTCACTCACACAACTTTTTTCCTTCATTTATATGCATGTGTTGAATCGATTAAGTCAGGTTAAAGGACCTTGTTGGTTGACCCGATCGGATAAAATAACATCATTTACAAAATACATTGCAATGAGTGTGAGTTAAGTGAACTACATAGGTCAGACTTGTAGGTCGGTGGTAGTCAGATTGTCGGAACATAAGAATTTAGCTAAGGGAAGAATGGTTGACCCCGAAAAGATGAGTAATTTGGAAAAACAAAACTCAATAGTCGCACTTCATGCAATAACAAAGAAACGCACACAATAGGTTGGGTGGGAGAGAGTCAAGATTCAAGGAAGTAATTTATCTAGGTGGGGAGAGAGAGATTGATTACTGAATCCTCGTTCACTGAATCTACACCCAACACAACACAACACATGCAACAGAAAGGATTCAATGCAAATACCAGAAATATAGATGGAAGATATTATTACCACCAGTCAGTCAGTCAGTCAAATCAGAGGAGGATAATAAATAATCTCAAAATTCTATTTCAATTCAATTCAGGCACATCACAACATTCTAACAAGTTACTTATTATGACTACAAAAACACTCGTCTTATTTCCCATCTGATTGTATTTGATCAATAACACTCGTATTATTATTATTATTTCTGAATGTACATAATCTCATCAGTTAATATTACTGTACAACACCGTGTGGTTTATCAAAATCAAAATCTTATCCACAATGGAGTTATGCTCTACCACAGTGCTCAAGTTACATACTTATATGAATGACAATATGGAACTTATAATTAATTATGCATGAATTAGAATTACGTGAAACACACGTATTCCACTACTATCGAATTATACTACTTATGAGTAACCATATGCTCGCCAGTATGCATTTTTTACAGTATAAGTAGGTATAATACAAACTTCGATCAAGATTTAACCACGAATGGTTCCGCAAACATTCGGCACTGAGTGAAGTGTAGACATAATAACAATAATAGCAGCTTAATTCCATGTAATGCATGAAGTCTCTAGGCAAGTAAATGTAATAGTAAGCGAATATAAATAAAGCCAATATATGTAGCCTTCATCTATGAGATAGTTTAGAAACTGTATCAACTGCACTACAGACAGCAGTTGCATTAACATAAATATACCTCATTCAATAGCTTTAATGTGATGTAATATGTCAAGAGGTTCACAACAAAAAGCTCAGGGTACCCTGTGGAAGATAAGAAAGGTGTAATACAAGGAACTCATGTCCTCTTTGAGATTCCAACCTATATCACTTAATACTGCAGTCAGAGACTTTACTACTGTGCTATTCGTGTCCACAAATGACCTCCTGTAGGACTGGTTGGTCATCAGGGAGCAACATCTCTGACTGTGGCATTGGTTGACCCAAGTTCGAATTTCAGAGGGAAAATGCGATCCTTCAAAGTTTGCAGGGACGCCTTTTTGACTACTAGCAACAAACGTGAAACCTGGGTCAATGGTTTCCTGCCGATTACTATTTCAGCTGTCTAACATCAATTTTAATTTTACACTGATGACTTAGTAGTAGGTGGTATACTCACGAGACACGATAATGATCCGGCTACGATTCTCAGCTGATAGACTCTCTACACAACTACCACTGGTGAAAATTTAAAACTTGAAGCCTTGTGTTTCACTTATTATCTAAAGATGATTTATTCCA